TAAAAAAAAAAAGTAAAATAACTACGGTAATTTTGGGATCCGAGTGTACGAAAAGAGAAATTAATTTTGGGGGCATCCTCAATAACGTAATTCCAAAAGGGGTACTTACTTGCAAGAATGATTTTGAGAAGGGTGAAACTTTCTGCTTACTCTAAAAGGGACATTGCTCTTGCAAAAATGCTCATTTCCAACTAATATATAATATATCCTCAAAAGAAAGCAAAAAGGGTTACTAACATATGACTTAAATCTAGAGCATCTTTTTCCTTAGAAAAAAAATGATCGCTAAACCACTTATATTATTGACAATTTAAATTTATTTCTTTTAAATAAAAGAAATATATATTTATAAATTGGATCAGAAAATTCAATCTTTCCTTTATTACCGTTCTTTTTTTCTTTTTTTTTTTTACTTTCAAACTTCTAGAAATTTTATTATTATCGTTCATTTAGTTTCTATGTTTTGGTCTATTTCAATCCACTCCAAAGTGTACAGGGTGTTGTCAGGGAAGAAGAAAAAATTGAATGGGGTGTTATGAAACTTACGGTAATTCCTTAGCGCTCTATTTGACTGTAATAAAGTTCTTGAAGTAAGTTTAAGATGATGATGAAAATAAGGGTAGGTTTTTTACAGGCATATTGAGTGTTGCTTGTTTCACATTTTAGTAAAGGTAACATGGTTCATGAAATATATTTAAAAATATAAATATTTAACCCTATTACTAGCAAAATGTTAATTATTTTGAAGCATAAAATAACTTAAAACTTATATAATTACCTTAAAAAAATACAACCATACAAACATGGAAATAATTGACAACTTATATATTATCCGCCTGTTGCATACTCTTAATACAGAACTTTGATCTAAGTAATTAAGAAACTTTTATGGACAAAATAGAGGAAAATACAATAATTAATTCGTGAAAGATAACACAATTAAAACATTCTCAATTGAAGTAGACATTATCTGGAGACTCATAGAGAGAACTGTGAAAAGCAGTTGGTGACCCTTTTCTCTTGAAAAAGTCTCCAATCAGAGGAACAATCGGCTTCTTCTTCTTCATCTTCCTCTCTCTCCTTCCTCCGAAGATACCTTCCTCCTTCCCAATGCTCAATATGTGAGCCAAAGTCTGATTGTTCTCCATTCTCTTCATCAACTCCTTTCTCATCTCTTCTTCTCTGATTACTTCCTCCCTAGAGGTCTCAAAACTTGCCACTGCCTTCTTTGCGGCCTCCGCCTCAACTTCAGCCAACTTAGACATGTTCTTGTGGAGCTCGGCGTTTAGCGAAGCCAACAGAATCTCAGTTTCGGATTCTCTCTCCTTCAGCACCTTCAACTCCGCCTTTGTATTCTCAAGCTCCGCCTTGAGCTTCCTGAGGGCTTCCAAAACGTTAGGTCCATAATTCTGACTATGATTTTCATGGCGCGGGTAATTCTGATTCAATTGACAACTTTCAGGACTCGACGAATACTTTGATGACAATACATTTTCCCTTTTAGGAGGAGTGAAGGTGTAGCATTTTGGAGAGTATATTTCTCCAACGAGAATCCGCTCACCGAAGATGGCAATAGCTTCTTTAACGGAGCTAAAAGGGCGAGAAGCGTCTACGGAGGAGCGATGATCTCTTGTTGGGGTTTGAGGCTCCATATTGGTGGCAGGGAACAAGAACACCGGTGGATAGATGTATGGATGAGGTGGAGAAAGAGAAGAAAATATAGTTGATGGCGATTTTAGGTTGGAGTTTTCTTTGCTTTTACTGAAGAGAGATGGAAAAGTAAAAGGCAAGGAGATGAATATGGAATATGGTGGAAGAAGTAGACGTGTTAACCACGACGACCTGCCCCAGGCATCGAACTAGCTGAGGGGCTGGCATCAAAAAGCTGATTGAGGTGCTTAAATCCTAGAACTAGTTAGGAGAAGTACACCCTTAAAAGTTGAAGCTGGTCTTAACATAATACAGTGGCGAAATTGTAACCAACTCTATCGTGGTTATGGCTACACAAACATTGTTCATTTTGATTAATATTTATAGTTTTTTTTTAAATAATTAGTTATAATACCTAAAAATATTAATGTAAATTTAATTTTAATTTATTAAATAATAAATATTAATTATTTTATTAATTATTAATTATTTTTAATAATTAAATCAAATAAAATTAATATTTTTTGAACAATATTGTGTGACGGCAACAAATTAATGACCGGTCAAAACTACACTCAATTAGAAGCTTGAGCAAAACTACTCTCTCTTTTTTCGCTATATGTGTAAAACTACTTAATAAAAATTACTTATATATAAATAAAAATCAAATGACAGTTTTATGTTATATAAAATTTATTATTATCTAAAATCATGTAAGGTTTTTCCACCGTAAGGGTGTATTAATTACATTTTTTATATTAATTTTTCAGTATCTAAAAATCACATTAAACTCTAATTAATTCAGAGTTAAGTTCACGTTGAGTCTAATAAAGAGAAACTCTCTTACCATATATTTTTTCATTTACAAAACTTGAACTCAAAATTTTACTTAAAGACATATTAATTACAATGTTTTACTATTAATTTACATAAAAAGATAAAAATTAACTTTAAATTTATAAACTATTTAATTAAAATCATCCGTGTGATCCTAATGTTAAAAATAATGTTTACTTTTACATTTTTCTATTAAAACTTATTGCAAAAAGTGTAATTAATGCATCATTAACTTGTGCTTTAAGGGTATATATTAGAAATTTTTAATTATATACTCAGTATAAACATTGATAATTAATAAAATACTTAATATTATAATTAATATTTATTATATAATAAATTAAAATTAATTTAGAAATTAATATTTTTAAATATCATAACTAATTATTAAAAAACTATAAATTAATAAAACCTTTGTTAAAACAAGCAAAATTAATGTGACAAAAGCATGGGTGGGCTGCGCATGACCAAACCCCAAAAAAGTACCATATTTTTTTTATTTGACAAGGGTGAGTTCCAATCTTCGGGGATCAATTGAACCCCCTGCCTTTGGGGAGGAGAAATTGGAAGCATTTAAAGTGCTTGGACCAACCACGGGGCCATCAGTGCCTCCTCCAAGAAATTATGTAATAAAAAATTATTCAGAATATAAACCCTCTCAATTGTGTGACAACTAAAAGTCTGTTTTTGGTGGCAATTTAACGCATTCTCTCCTGTTTTCATTGAATTTTGTCGCTTATGTGTATTACACAACAGATACAGTTGGATTTCTCTTAAACGACGGATCCAGATCGATTTGTTTGTCATCACTTAATTTCTTCTCGTTGCCTTTAGGTATAGTTAATTAGTTAATCTATAAGAATCAATTAATAAATTAATCAAGCTAGGTCTTTTCAAAGAGAAAAATTAATCCTAGGATTAAGAGCTTTTCCAAAGTACAATATAACGCATTAACATCATAAAAGTACATTTAAGTAATGTCTTTGAAAAAATTCTATTAAAAAAATGTTCTTGCCCTTAACGGGTTTGGCCAGAAAAATTAAAAAGTACAGATAGACAATGCCTTTAAAAAAAGAAATAATACGTATACTTTCTAAAGTTATATATTGACGATTTTCATTAATTATATTATTAAAATTAATAATTTTTATTATTTATATCTTAAAATTAATTATTTTTATTATTTTTACTGTTAATTTTAACAGTTTTCGTCAGGACGGAGCTAGTCTAGGACAGGGGAAGGCAGCTGCCCCCTAAGGTTTTGAAAAATGTTAAACATGGTACATTAATTTTTAGTTTTTATAAAATTTTATATTTGAAGTTAATTTGAATTATAGGAAGCGTTTAAATTAAAAAATATATATATTTACGACCTAGCTAAAGGGATCATTTTTTTTTGTGATTAATTTTTATACAGACATGATAATTTTAATTATGTAAGAATAAATATAGAAAATAGTTAAGATATAGTTATTTTGAGATAAACTTATATAAGTTTTTATGTTAGTTATATATGATTTTTTTTTGTATGATTTATATTTTATTAAACCAAAATTCATTTGATACATATAATTTTACAAAAAAAAATTATATTTTTATAATATTTATTTAACTATCTTAAATTCTACGTTATTTAAAAATAGTTAAATATATCTAGTTAATATAAAATTTGTTGTAGATGATATAAGTGGTATATGCATAAAAACAGTAATTGATTTAAAAACCAATACAAATTATACTAATATAAACTATTTAGACTTCATTTATCAATGTTGTATTGTAAATATACATTTTTTTATCTTTTAATATCTCAAAAATATATAAAATATTAATCAAAATTAATAGAAGTATATAAAATATTAATTTTTTT